AAGGGTGTTCATTCACCACTCCTAAAGGGTGTTCATTCACCACTCCTTCTGGGTTTTGTTGTGAACACTGTTTTTGTTTCTTTTGCCGCTCAAGGGTCGAAGCCAGGCCTTGGGGGGATGGCCGGCCGCTGGGGGATGGCCGGCCGCTGGGGTAGTAAGAAGAACTCCTACAGAACAGGATGGAAACAATAGAGAGTGAAAGGGGTTGAACGCATCAAGTGTCTCAAGGTGCCCAAAAAACTTCAGCAAGCGGAGCATGTTCGGTAAGTGGTCGAAAAAGCGCTCCTTAAAAAGGCCTAAAAGGTTAGACGTTTTTTTAGGTCAGCCACTGACTGGCAAAACCTATATGATATGCCTATATCCCAGAAATGCCCACGACACAGAATTTGGGAAGCTGCCAAGCATCCTCCTCGGTGAAGAAACGAATTCCAGAAGCGTTGGAAGACCTTGGGTCGTTTTTTCTCAGACCTGCACCACAGAACATCTTCACACCCACCGGCGCTCTTCCGGGTCATCGGACTGTCCCACCCTCTTGGAGGTTGCTTTTTGGAGCCCGGAGGTCAGCGTGGAAGGGAACAACATTGACCTTTCTCAGAAGGACCAGGCAACTGAGCCTTCTTCAAGACGTACTTGACCGCTTCTTTGGGACCTCAGCCGTGCTCGATTTGGGCCATTCTGCTAGCTGATGGACCAAGCTTTGGTGGTGGCAAAATGGATGAAACAAATGGGAAGGCTCCGGAATTGTGTACGCAACAAGAATGCCAATTGACAAAGAAGTCTTTGTGCCCCCACCACAGTACACCGACAAGCAAACATCAGAATCACTAGATCTACAATACAAAGCCCCCTCCCCTTCCTACCAAAGGGTCCACTGGGTGCATCTTGTTTTGGAGCTTTTTTGTGGTCCAAACATAGAGGTCTCTCAGCTTCGGTCTGTCATGGTATCTCATCTCCGCCACCCGCGCCTCGGTCCAAGCGCGTCGGTCGAACACCGAGCTCCTGCAGGTGCCGCTGCAGCTCCAGGAGGGACCGCACCACACGTGTGGTCGGATGCCGCTTCGAGGGCACAAAGTGCAGCAGCCGATCCTTTCGCACCTGGCAGATTGGGTCGGACCACATGGGGAGAACTGGCAGAAAAGTGCCAGAATCTGGAGGTCGGAGAACTGAGTTCTTTACCACGTGGGTGGATTGGGAGCTACTGAATGAGCTGCTTTGGCAGGTGGAGTTGCCAACATCTTCAGGAAGCTCCAGGTGCTGGAGTTCCTTTGAATCTGGACTTTCTGAGCGCTTACTTTGTTTCATGGTCTTTCACCGCAGGGAGACGCCAGGACCGTGCCATTTCACTCGCGTCGGACCCGGAGACCGGACGGGGAGACCGGTGTCTCCCGTCTCCGGATTGGAGCAACGATGTGCATGGCAGCCAGTTCGGAAGAGCAAGAAATCCTCTACAACAGGCAGATGAACTCCACTTTCAAGTTCCAGGGAGAGTAGCCTTGTGTAACTATCAACACACGTGCCCGCGACCTGGTCCCTTCCACACACTCAACACTTCGAGTCCAGTCGTGACGCATTGTACCCCGAACTGGCAGTGGATGACGACTTGCAGGTGGGGTAAAAGGATAATTGGAAGTTCGTGGAGTACGAGGAAAACAAACCACCTGCTTGTTATTTGGAAGAGGGTGATCGAAGGGGATGCCATCCCCTTCCGGTTTCAGGTGAGCGCCCGTCCGCGCACGTCGACGATATGTCTTGATCTATCTATCCCTCACCTACGAATGACCTGCTGTGGCCGCACTCACGGGAAACTCTGAAAGCAGCTAAACGAACGTAGTGGCTTGTTGAATGCAAGCGCATTAAGATGCACAAAGGATGCGTTGTCTGGCTACCTTTGTTCTTAGAATATCTCACCGTATCTCTTTGTTCTTAGAAAGGGATCCAGCCGAGTCACAAGCCCACTGCGGAGATAATACCTCTGGGCCACCGCCTTGCCAGCGAACACCGCATCCCAGTCATTCTCGTGCCATTTGGCTGGGGCGTCCATGGCGAAATCGGGTCGAATCGCTCGAAACACAACTTGACGAGGACCACTTTGGGTCAAGGAAAGGCCAAAAATCCTGGGCGAACAGCCTGTGATTGGCAGCCAGGCGGTTTGTTTTTGACCATCCAGCGACTGGTTGGCTCCGAACTGCTTGAGTTTCTCACATGTAGCTTCAAGCAACACAGGTCTGGTCTCACCCAGCCAGCAGAAGTGCAGTCACATCATAAGCAATGCAAGTGACATTACACACAATGATTCCCAGTTAAATAAGCCTGCCTTCGATTTTGAGCCAGGCTTTATGTCAAGGTCGGCGATGCAACTGCATACCCATTCCATCCCAGTCAGCTTTGGACAAGTGCTTCCATAACATTATTCTTGCTCTATTCCTTGCCAAGGACCTCAACCAAATCATCCATGACGGCCATGCACTGCACCCGCTTTTATCATCCATGACGGCCATGCACTGCACCCGCTTTTTTCACTGACAAAACCTCACCTTTTTTGTGTGTGCACTCACCTCACCAAAGGCTCAAACGGTTGAACTCCAGGTTATCCTATCTCAAACACTCCATGTAGCTCTTCTTGGGACAATGTAGGCGTATATGGCAGTCCCATTAGTCGTGTCTGGGTATAGATTTGATCCCCCGTTCTGTCCCTTGTTACTCACGTAGTCCAAGACATCGGACATCGAGACGATGTCCAACATGGACGGCCAGGAGGTTCCGCCGTTCAGACATGGACATGAGAAATATGGAATATGCATAGAATTGCATAGATCACGCAGTCCAGATTCCATGTGGCACTTGCGAAATGATCTGCGAGAAAATAGTCAGGGCAGCTTCCAGGAAACACCTCAAACTAGGACCTATGGATATACAAATATACAACTTTAGCCTAACGACACTGACAAAAATAATCCAATCAAATCCAGAAAACACCCATTGTTTGATGCACCCCAAAATGTGGTCAAGCAGCAAACCCTCCTGTGCCGAACCAGTGCAACTGTGGCTCGGTCAAAGGCCACACTCGCCGGTCGAACAAGGGCGTACGCCACACAAGGATCTCAGTGCAGGTGGCGATAAAAAGCCTCAGCTGCACAGCAAAGGCCGACACGTTTTAGGTAGGGGTTTACTCTATGATAAGAGGTGGAAGCGCTAGGAGATCCTAGGAGGCTGGCCGGTGCTGCTGCTACCAATGAAGAATGCAGAAGCATGCAGGGTAGCAAAACCTGCCAAAGGTATACGCAAAGGTTAAAGGCGTTGAAATGCCTGTCGTTTGCCACCAACATTTAAGTGGAGCTGTGGGAGATGATGTAAGCCGCTTGAGTTTCCATCTCTGCCCAGTTTTATGAAGTGAACAACCGGGTTTATGGCACAAGCTATCCAGCTGAGTCCACCAATTCTACATGTCTTGCTATTAGTAACGAGGGCATCGCTACTAGTAGCTAAAAAGTTCATCTCTCGTTTTGGCTAAACGCCTGCGGACCTCTTTGGCACAACGGGCAGGACTGGCGATCTATACGCCCCTCAAGCGCTTCAAGCAACAACAACAACAACAACAACAACAACAACACCACATGCCTGGCTTCGGCCAAACATGAAATCTCCGAAGGCCTACGGAATAAAAGTTTATGTGCGTGTATCATCGCGTATCAATTAGGGAGACCTCCCAGTTCGACCCCCTAGAAGAAGGGAAAAAAACCGATACCAAAACCAATTGGTTGGGTGTCCCTCTTAAAATGCACACCAATGTGTGTGTGTGTGTGTGCGTCAACTCCTGTCCCAAAGGATGTGCTGACTGGCAGGGGGCACGGCCGCCGTTCACCTAGCCGTGCTAACAAAGCTATGGTGTTCGGTTGGATGAGATGCTGGACGCTGTATCTTATACCTGCAGTTTTAATCCTTCTGTCATTTTGTGGCGTTTCCAAGCTGTCACACTAATATTCTTGTAAAGTGCTAATACGCTTGTTCCAACAATTCCGTTCTCTGACCCAGCATTCTTGCCGTTGCGTGCGAGTCAAGGTCTAACATAATCAGTAACTACCTCACGGGAATGTCCAAACTGATACAGCTCTTGCGAGCATGGATCTATATAAGTGTGTGCGACGCCTCCACCCACCCTCCCGCCAAAGCACGGCAAGGCTGCAAAAGCCTGGAGGAAGACGGTGGGTACCAGCACCTCCCCCTCTAAAGTATACGGGTGTGCGGTGTATGTGTCTTTTGAGGAGACCCCCTGGCCCAATGGGTAGACTGGTGTCTGTTCTTTCTTTGGGGTCGAACGGGGTGGACCTCCCGTCTCAACTGGCCACTGGGAAGTTGGGGATCAGGCCAATGACCCTCCAGTCTGTTGCATGTGGTTCTGACCCCCTCAGTTTTCCCTCAGATAAATAACCTTTTTCCACCTATATAGTCTTGTTCAGTGGGGAAACCAACCCCCAAAAAAGGTTAAAGGTTTTCTACTGACTGGGTAGGTGCATGTGGTTGCTTTATTGGAGGCCAATGATCTGCAACAAAATCTGGATTTCCGCGGCACCTCAGCACCTGAAGCATCTGCGGAAAGCGATGTGATTGGTGAAGCTTGCAGGGGCCCCACAAACCATCAAAGGCCTGGTTTTCCCCAGCCAAAAAGACAGGTTGCTTGATATGGTTTTTGGATGTGAAATCCTTTATTTGTCATGGGTTTGAGGGCCGCTTGTCTACAGTGGTTTCAAAGGGGTCCCTATCAACCACCCAACTTGGATATAATTGTGCCGTCTACTCTGTAGAACTGGACATTTGAAGGCGCAACGTCCATGCCAAAGTGAAAAGTAGGGCAAAGTGAGAGCAAATGCCCGAAGCTCTCCGCTGGGATGTGTATGGACTTGTGCTGTGCAGGTCTGTTGTTATACAACAGGCCTTTGGATGCCTGTGGCATACTCAACAACTCTCAGCAACACCATAGACCAATTGATGGACCCGTTTCTGTGAACAATGATAATCATTATACAGTCCCTGGGAAGGGGATGCTGGACTGTTGACTGTTAGACATGAAGAAGCACCAACAAGCCAGGGCTCATGCGATTCCTAGCTGAGTAGCTTTATATCAGTATAGGCTTAGATGATTCCCAGAGTCAGGCAACAATACACACAAGGACGGGAGACCTGGTAAATTCAACTGAGCAACATGTTGTTGTAATTGAGTGGAGTGTCTCCAGTCTTTGCTCTTTCTGTGGGAAATTATGTTCATCTGCTCTACATATATTCCCTCATCTGGTCTACCAAGCGCACACTTCGCTGGATCAAGCATGCAACGCATTCAATAGTACTTAAACTTAGGGAATGCACGTCCTTTCCACCTGGCCGTGCTCGTTTCACCCCGTTCTGGCGCATGTTCTGTTCTTCCGCCCGTGCTTCACCGTTTCGCTCACCTCCGTGGGCGACCTCGGCCGGTGGGGATCGCACTCCAGGCCCTGCTTTTCCAACCGCGTCGACGTCAATTCGTAAAGCACAAAATCATCCAAAAAGCGACGACGTTGGGGGGGTCCCATGTTTTTACCCACAACGTCAGGGTGCTCATACTCCATGTATTCAGGACTTTCCTCCTGGGGGAGAACCGTTGTGAGTCGTCGGCCTGGGATGCACGTGTTGATGAGCCTTGGGGGTGTCATCCACCTGAGACTGTCCTTGAAACATGAGCCCTGGTGTTGGAGGTCCAAGCTGCAAGGCTTTATGTCTTTTGGTGGTGTCTTTGGGTAGTTTGATCTACAGCCACCAGTCATTTCTAAGTGGTCGAAGACTGCGGCAATGAATCATGACTATCCATCGAAACAGTTGCGCCCGACCCACCAACAAAAAACGAGTTGCTTACTAGAAGCCTAGTGTTGCTGGTTCACCTACATCCCTGACAAGGAGCCTCCTGAAATCAGTGTGTCATGTCATGCGAGGAGTCGTCTGCCTGCCAGTGGTCTCAGTTACTTCAATTGCGCTATATACTCTGACTGAGCAGCTCTGTCACTTGGATGTGTTTCGCAGAACTGGAAGGGGATGCATCGTATGGCAACATTGGAGAAGTCATTGCAGAAACTATTGCATGTAATTATACATCCCTGGGTTAAAACACTTTTCTCTGAGGGCATGTCGCTCACACAAAAACGTCTGCCATTTAACATCATCGAGGAAAATCCTTTTGAGCCCCAAGGATCACCCTAAACAACAGCCATGAACAGCCCTCATGGTGGTGACCCTCAAGGAGGCCTTAACTTAAATACCTTTCTGAGCGGCCTCTAAGGCCGCTCTGGGTACGGTTTTTGTGGACCCCACGGGTCCACTTCTCCGAGAAGCAAACAGCAGTAGTCGATCCAAAAGAAGAGCTCGAAGTCCATCTCTTGCTCTCGTGCACGGGCCTCCGGCACGAGGCGTCCGGCCCAACTCGTGGGCGACGTGCACGTTCGGGCGACTTCGAGCACGGGATCAGGGTTTAGGGCGGGTTTCGAAGGACAAACCAAAGCAATCCAAAGCAAGCCAGCCCAAAAAGCTTACTCAGCAACAGCAGAAACAGGCATGTTTGAGATGTTTTGGGTGCTTTTAAGGCCCAACGATTCTGAGGAGGGCTTGACAGGGAGGTGGGTAGCCTTGGTGACTCGAATCCTGGGGTCTGGTCGCTGACAACGCCCTGGCGAAGGCGGGTCAAAGGGTGCAGGGAAAGAAGCACATGCGATGGGAACATGCAGCTTCCCAAGCAGGCGCAGCGTGCAAACTTCCATTGCAACGCGAACAGGTCATCAAATCATATCAAATCAAAACCTCAAGCACTTCGATCTCACCCTATGAGGCACCAACAACACACCACAAATGATCACAAATGCACCGTCATGCGCGTGCGCAGACTTGCGCCGTGTGCGTCTGGACAGCGCTTGGTCAACGGAGACAAACGGAGCGCCTCGAACCACTTGGAGAACTCCAAAAGTCCCTGGACTTTCCCCGGCGATCGGTTGTCCTGGCGGTGGAGACGGGTCTCCACGGTTG